CCCAGAGCTGTGCAAGAGGAATTAGCAAGAGTTCTGTTATGCTACTACAAAGCACAGGGAGGCATGGGAAGTGCACAAACCTCAGAGGGCTCACTTTCATCCCAGACACCCAGTTTCCTCATCCATAGAGTCAGAATGAGTAGTAATGACATTCATTCCACAAGATGGGAAGAACAAAGAATAATGATGTCTGGGTGGCACAGAGCCTTCTGTACCCATCCAAGACACTGTCTGTTTACTTTCTAATGAAAGAGCTTGAACAGGCACCACTGGCAATGGGGGATGGTGGGCAAGCCCCATTCATTGTGTAAGACCATGGCCAAGAGGGAGGGGGTAAAGAATCACTCAGCATGGAGGTGCTCCTCCCATGTGCTCGCCCTTGAGCTGATTAAGGAGTTGTGCTCCCATGTGGAAAGAGCTTTAACCGAGATGGATTCCAAGCATTTTGGAGCTGACTTTGCATACCTCAGTACAATCAATGCTTAAGATAACACCGATGACAGCATCACTGGCCCAATATTACAGATAAGGAAATTGGAGTGAGAAGGTCCTCCGTGGTTTGCTCAAGGTCACAAAGGTAACAAAGAGCAGAAATTTGAAGTTGAAGATCAACTTGGTATTGACACCTTTCTTACATGTGAGTCACATGAGTCTCTGGGACTATGAAGCAGACTCTTGGCAGATTTTATCTGAGCCAAGATAAATACCTGTCTCTCTCCCATCTTCTGCTGCTTTGGGTGCTTTCTCTTTTGCCCTCTCCTCTCTCTTATCTCACTGCACCTCCATCAGTACTGTTGGTGTTATCTACAATTCATAGCATAGACTGTTTCGCCTTCTGTACTGACATCATCCATTCCTACTGACATTTGCAGATGAGACAGGCTGTGGTCCTGCAGCGCCAGTGATAGCTCCAGTTGTTACAGTCCTTTCAGCCAACAGTCTTCACACTGGAAAGAGTTCCTCATGACACCCGGTATCAGATAGCTTTGAGCCCCTGTGTCCAAGCTGAGAACCCCAGAGGTCCCCCAAATCCTCCCTGTGGGAGATCTCTTTCAATGATGTTTTCTCCACTAAACTCTACTCTGTCAGCTTACCAACCAGGAATTATTGGTGCATGGCTCGTTATTAACCTCTGAGTTCTCACCTCAAACTCCCTAAAGAAAATATTCCCATTCAAGGGAGAAATGCAGTCCTTGACTGGTCCCAGCAGGAATGCTGGAACAATTTGACATCTCAGAACCAAACATTTGGGAAACTTTACACCAGAGAGACTGAAAGTCAGAGCTCAGGGGTGGATCTCTGGGGATTCAAAGTCTAACTCTCCCTGTAGGTACACCTGTCATCTTGAAGACAGTCATTCCCTGGTGTCTGAATGTCCTCGACGTTATACCAGGAAGATGACAACAGTGGTGGTATATCTCCTTTACTAGCTGGTAGAGTGAGAAGGAAACATGTGTTTAAAACAGTGCCATTCAAAAGTCACCAGCTACAGATTTCTCTATGTCCCACAGGAAATGCATCTCAAATTAATCTCTATCACATTCTAAGGAGACATTTCAGTGAATTAGAGGAAGAGAGAGATAGGCTCCAAATAACTATGAAATAGAAAAGGGCTTTTAAAGATTGCAAGAGAGAGAAAGGGAGAGAAAAGGAAACAGCGTTCTGTCCTTCTGTGTGTCATATGTTTCATTCAATACATAGGGCATGAAATGTGTATACTGTATTTGTTAGGACTGTGATGTCAAGAATCTGAAAATGAGCACCATAGGTTCACAGTTTGAAAAGCTAGTTCCAAGCTGATGACATTGGGGGGGGGGTTGGAGACTTGGGAGGTGGAGGCCTAGTTGTTGGAAGTGGGTCACTGGAAACAGCTTTGGGGAATCATATTGACCCTGGTTGTTTCTTGTCTCACTTTACTTCCTGGCCAGTCATATGAATTCCTAGGCCATGGTGTCACCACTATGATGGACTGGACATTCTGGAATCTTGAGCCAAAAAACAATACCCCCCCAACTTGTTTTTGTCAGATATTTTAGTGACAGCAATGTAAAAGTAACTAAAAAGTAGACAAACAGCAGACAAAAATCCAGCTCAACAAAGAGCATATCTAAGCACTTGTAAGTTGTGCTAAGCACAAAATACAACACAATTCCTCCTCCTTCCTGTTCTGTCTTTTCAGCTACCCAAGAGAGTCTAACTTCCCCAGAAACATCTGAACCAGAAGAATTAGCTCAAGTTGATTGTCAACAACAGACAATTAAAAGTAGTTTTGGTTCTGGCTATGGTGGCACTTTGAAGGTTGAAGCAGGGGGGATCATGAATGTTGGGTCAGCCTGAACTACACAGCAAGTTCCAGGGTAGTCTGAGCTGTGTGGTGAGATCTTGTCTCAGAGAGCCCAGACTTGCAGCATAGCACAGTAGTCTGAGCTCATATTTAGCACATGTATGTATTGGGTTCAGTTTCCAGCACTGGAGGGAAAGTGGCTTTAGGAAAGAAAACAACAGGCTGCAAATGAAAGAATATACTGTTTTAGCACTGAAGAGGGCACTATGCAGCCAAGGCCAAACAGGTACTCATGATTTCCTTCCAGGGCCCGAAGGTAGGAAAGCCCTCAGGAGCCCAGGCAGCTTGGGTTTCCAAGAGCTTATTTCTTGAAAGACAAACACGTCTTCACACATGAAATAGGATTCTTGAGGTTTGAGCAGTTACATACTGCCTCTCAGAGGGACACAGTGCAAACTGATACCGAAGACGGTTATGCAAGATGGATGGGAGGGTTCCCGTTTTCCTTTCCTGCGCTCCAGCTCTGGCCTACTCACTCACATCAACCTCTATGAAGTTAAACAATAGCACAGCCTCCCAGATGGTGTCCAATGTTTGCAGAAGAAAGTGTTTCCTTTTCTTCTAAGACTGAGTACAGAGGCTTCTTCTGCCTAAAGCAAAATAATGTCAAAAAATATCCTTTGCACAGATAGAAAATATTGGGAATAGAGATCTTAGTTCCTGGGATGCATTTATCAAACCAACCACAGTAATTATAATTAGAACATAAACACACTGAATGCTAAGCATGAAAATGCATTTTCAGAAAGTCTGAACTGTATGTAATTAAGCCCTGTGTGGTGGCATTTCCAGGTATGCCATTAATACATGGGGGGAGGGGCTGGAACAGATTCTTTTCTTAAAATCTCCACCTGCTTGCATTAAAGGCTTCAACTAGACTTGAAGAGGAGAAATAAGGATGCATAGCATGAACTGCTACATGCGGAGCTGTAAGACAGATGTCAATGGGTCACTCAAATGGTTACTTAAGCCATCATTCTTTGACACCCTGTGAAATATATTCATTGGGCACCAATTCAACCCAGGTCTTCGTTAAGAGGAGGGGAGAGCTTCAGGGGAAGGTAAAGCTCTATTTCTTTGCCTCCATTTTGGGAATGCATTAGACTACAGTGTTAGAAATCTTCTCATGGCTTCCTATTACTCAGAGAAGAAAGATTAGTCTTCTAAAACATCTCATTATATTTATTTACTTATTTATTCACTTATTTATTATGTGCTACAGGATTGCCACACATGCTGTAAAGGACAGCTTGCAGCAGCTGATTCTTCCATCATGTGGCTCCCAGGCATGGAGATCAGGTTGTCAGGCTTGGTGGCAAGCACCATTACCCACTTGCGTCATCTTGGCAGCCCAGAAAGTCCATTCTTATTAGTTTCCTGTCCTCACTTATTAGTTGCCTCTCCTTCCCAGACACTGTGATGTTTGTCTTTCATTTTACCTTGACATATACGATCTTTCCTTTGCTAAACTGTGATTGTTTAGGTCAGAGATTCCCCCCTCTCATCCTGGGTCTCTAGCATCCAGCATATGACTCAGTGGCAGAACAGGTGCTTGGAAAATGTTGAACAAAGAGTGACCAGTACAAGAGGTAAATAAGTCAAGAAGTAAGCAGCAAACAAGCCACTCTTCTGTACCCAGATCAAAGCCAGTTCAGATAACCCTTCTCCTTTTCTGCTTCTCCCCTGTCAGAGTTAGACACTGTGATGGCAATCCAGGACAGCTTTAGGGGAAAGGCAGCTTTTCATAGAGCAGCTCAGGAGAGGCAATCCAGGTAGGAAGAGATGCACAGGACATGTTGTGGTGACTGTGGAAAGCACTGTGGATTTCCTTAGAACACACACTCTTTTAGTAGAAGCCCTCTTCCCATGATCCTATTTAGGAGAGTGGGTATCTGGTGACAGACTTCAGACCATGGCCTCTGGCATCTTTCCATATAAAAAGAATAAAACTGTCATGTTACGGTCTCCCAGTTCCCTAGTGTGGAAAAGATAACGAGCTGGACATTAGTGTTGCTACAATTCACTTACCTACTTCAGACATCGTTTTAAATGCACCCGTGTGTGTTTGCATACTTTACATTTCTGGTAACAGCTCCTTGCTTTCCCTATCTCAGAGACCACTAGGGCAGGGGGCTCAGGCTGATTCTTCCCAGCACAGGACTTGGCTCCCCCTGGCACCCGTGCTGCTTATGTTCATCTCTTGAACAGTGCAGGTGACTGACAATCGTCCACATACACACTTAAACTTGTCAGCGCGTGTGTAAGGGCAGCAACAACATTTCAAGGCAGGAAAGCGAAGCATGAAGCATCTAATAATTTAGAGACCAAAAGTTAGCTATTTTTTTCCAATTGTGAATTGGCAAACCGGCTAATTGCTCCAAAGCGACCCTGGAGTTCAGCCATAATCGCCGGAGAGCACAGTTTTGGGGACCCCATACCTTCACCCCTGGTCTGGGAAAGTGGGAAGTCTTCGCAGGGTCCCCAGGGCGCCTCCTGCTGCTACCCCAAATTTACCCCTTCCTTCCCTAGGGCCGGACTGTTTCACCCCGTATCCAGGCAACAGCCAGGCGCACCAGGCGGGACGTCATTTCCTGAAGAGCCCGCGGGGGGGGGGGGGGACGGGGCGGGGAGGGGAGGGGCGAGGGGGGCGGGGCCAAGTCCCGGCAGGCGACAGCGACGGCGTCGGAACTCGCTGGAATACTCGGCCCAGAGCTGCTCAACAGTTCTCAAAGTCTGGGCTCACGGGCGCGCGGCTCCTTGTGAGCCCGGGCGGCGCTGGGGCGCGGGGACCCCGGGCTGCTGCATGGTGGACGGCCCGGGACATGCCCCGCACCCCTCGCCGGACGCCCTCGTGGCTCCTCTGGCTACGACTGCTCCGAACTCTGGTTCTAGATCGACCAGCGCCCCAACTTCTGACTTTGGGGTCCCCCAGCCCTAGAGGAACGGATAGCTCGGCTGGGGGAGCCCCGGGCATGGTGTGACGGGGCGGGCGGCGTGGCTGTGCCCCCCACTGCGGCCACACGTGGTCCCCGCGCCTTCCGTCATGTAGCTGCTGTCCCGCTCCCCTCGGCCTCCAGCCGCAGTCTCCGCGACCTCCAGCCTCCAACTCTTTGTCCCCCAGGATCCCGCCGCGTTCTTCGCGTCCTCAGGATTGCAGCCGCCGTCTCTTCGTCCTCCGGATTCCAGTTTCCCCATCCTCCCAACCCCCCCCCTTTGCCTTCGCACCCCTGGGCCACCGGCCGCGGTCCCTGCCATTTCCCCAGGATCCAGCCACCGCTCCTGCGCACCCTCCCCCTCAACCCACCCTGCTGCCGTCGTCTCCACTCGCCGGCCGGTCTAGACTGCAGTCACCGTCTCCGCGTCTCCCCCAAGCTTAGACTCCAGCCGTGACCTCCGCGGCCCCGCGAATCCAGCTGTCGCGCCGCTGGCCGCAGGTGCAGCAGCCGCCCCGCGCCGCGCGCCCCGAGTGCGTGCGGCCCGGCCTCGGCGGGGAGATGAACGCGCAGCTGGACGGTCTTTCTATGAGCTCGTCCTCCACCGGCTCGCTGGGCTCGGCGGCCGCGGCGGGCGGCGGCGGTGGCGGCGCGGGGCTGCGGCTGCTGTCTGCCAACGTGCGCCAGCTGCACCAGGCGCTCACGGCGCTGCTGAGCGAGCCCGAGCGGGAGCAGTTCACTCACTGCCTCAACGCGTACCACGCGCGCCGCAACGTCTTCGACCTGGTGCGCACCCTGCGCGTCCTGCTGGACAGTCCGGTCAAGCGGCGTCTGCTGCCCATGTTGAGACTGGTCATCCCGCGCTCCGACCAGCTGCTCTTCGACCAGTATACCGCCGAGGGTCTGTACCTGCCCGCCACCACCCCCTATAGGCAGCCTGTCTGGGCTGCTCCCGACGGCGCGGGGCCCGGGGAGGTGCGGCTCGTGAGCCTGCGGCGCGCCAAGGCCCACGAGGGCTTGGGCTTCAGCATCCGCGGGGGTTCGGAACACGGCGTGGGAATCTACGTGTCACTAGTGGAGCCGGGCTCCCTGGCAGAGAAGGAAGGGCTGCGGGTCGGGGACCAGATTCTGCGCGTCAACGATAAATCTCTAGCCCGGGTGACCCACGCCGAGGCTGTCAAGGTAGGGCTGGGGTTTGTGGGAGTGGTTAAGAGGACGGCACTGGCAGTTTAGTGCTGCCTTTTCTGTTGCGCTGGGCTATTGTCTCTTACACCAAATCGCTTGACCCTTCTGGCCTCCGTTGTGTTTTTGTTTTTGCCCCCTGCTCCGACTTTAAAAGAGGAATATCTAATTTGTGGCACAGATAGGTGTTGCAAACAGAGAGGGAGTGGTGATTCTTGCCTTGGGTGACCTAAAGGCCAAGGCACAAACACAGTATCACATGAGCAAATGTCTGGTCACAATGTGAGAAAAGGGCTGTGGAGTCTTAGCGGAGAGCCCCTGCTTGGCATTGAGTCACTGATGGTTCTCGATGTTGCTGCTGCTGCCGCCGCTGCTGCCGCCTCTGCCGCCGCCGCCGCGCTGTTCTCTGGATCCGTAGGTTTTTGCCTCTGAAGGAAAGTTCTGCTCCACTGCTGATGACACAGGAGGAGGCTGAGTGACCACTTAGCTGGGGCTGACCCTGCTATTTGTAGGCTCGCTGGGGTATCCTGGAACGAGCCAGACCAGAGAAGTGCCTCCTGATTTTGTTGCAAACTAGGCTGCTGCCTGAACATTCGAAATGAAGCCCATCGAAATGTGTACTTTTGTGTGTGTGTATGTGTCTGTTAATTGAGAAAAATAACCTCACCACAACCAGCTAGTAGGAATTTAATCCTACTGCCTGGAAGAGCATTCGTGCTTACTAATCTTACTGCACTAGGTGAGGGAGGAAACACCGCCAGTTGGAGTATGAGATATATACAGTGTTTGGTCCCAGGGTGGCTTCAAGGATCTTTCTTTCATAAGCATGTAGCCCCCAGCCCTATAGCTTCTTACACAGGAAGTGGGGACTTTGAAGGAAAAGAATGACCATCTTCTCTCTGCAGAGAAATGCTTCTCCCCTGATTTGGATCGACTTGTGAGCCCCTCCCACTCTGTTCTCCAGCCTAACCTCACACAATTGTACCAAATAGAGCACACTGGCTGCTGGGAAACTCCTTGGTAGCAAAACTCCAAGGCTGTTCCCTGCGTGGTGTGCGGTGGCTTGTGGTTAGCTGAGTCGAGCTGGCTGACTGTGTGCACCTTAGATACCTCCATCTGTCTATGACCTTGGCTTTGGTCATTTGCTTCTTTACTCAAGGACCCCCTTTCAGGAGGCCCCTGAGGTTTCTGAAAAATTCTTTCCTGATTCTGGGGGAAAGCTTGATATCCTTTCATTATTCTGGGGGCTAGCAGACAGAGTTCTTCATGGTTTTCCCGTTCTCTCAGGCTCCTCCCCCATCATGATTCTCTCCTCTTTATCTATATTCCATATATCTATAAAAAATTAGTCCATTAACGTTCTTCTAACAGGTCCAAAGTAGCTGCAAATGATGAATTTATGCTCTGAAGAGACTTGATCCAAATGTCATTTATTAGCACGGATTCAGTTTACGGATTCAGTTTTAGTGGCAATTTAGTGGCAAAACTGGAGTCACTTAATCATCACTAGATGAGAGGTTTTGGAAAGGCAACCTGAATCTGAGCAACACAGGTTTTCCAAACCGGTTTGTGCCTCAGATCTGTGTACCATTCAGTTTCTGGCATCAAAAAGGTCACGATCAGGACTGTATGTCTCAACCTCCCTGAGTGGCTTGGGTGCTGCTGAGCTGTGGTTCAGGGCAGTACCTAGCATCAGCGGCTCATGCTTGATGCTTGCTGATGGACACCTCAGCTCTGCAAGCACAGTTTAGGCAGCCTGCAGAGAAACACTGGCCCTGGGGTTGAACGGAAAAGAACAGGAACATCCTTAAAGTGTGATACCGGCATCACAGGGGCCTGTGTAAGTTGAGTTGACTTGGGCATGTGTTTTCTTCCTGGTGACATCTGCTTCTGGCCTAAGGGAGCCCCTCTTCTAACCAATGTCAGACACATGATCTTGGGACCCTTTAGAAGCATTGGACAGAGGACTGTTGTGTCTTCCAAACCCCAGGGAAGGAAGGGGACAGAATTGCAGTGGTGATATAAAACAGAGGACACTACTGCAGGGTTGTATCATATGCAGATGAACAGTTAAAACACCTGGAGAACTGTTGACACTTTTGTATAAAATGTAAAAATGTAGCTCCTTCTCTGAGACCCAGGAGGGGCCCCAGTTACTCCAGGAGACAGACACACGTTGTCATCACCTGAGAATTTTGTAAGTGGGGCCTCTTGGTCAGTCGTGAGCTGTGGGACTCAGAGGGTTCCATGGTCAACATACACAGAGGCTAGCTGGGCTCCAGGATTCATTCAGTGTCCCTGAATTGTCTGTTTGTGTCTCATTTCTGTCTCAGGATCCCCCATTCTAATTAATAGAAGATATCTGTTCAATTAAAAAAAATCTGTTTTTTTTTTTTTTTTTTTTTTTTATGATGGCAAAAGGAAGTGAACCTCAGAACTTTCCCAGAGGACAGATTGTTTGTATGATGTATGTATACAACATAAAGAGAATCCAATTAAAACCTCTAAGAATCAAAGTGTTAGATGCCTGTGCTTCAGATAGGAACACAGCTTTTAAAAGAAGGATCAAGTAACTAAAGTTTGCTCAGCTTCTCTTCCTGACTGATCTTGCATTCATTGATACCCAAAGCAATTTGCTGAGGATTTCACCCTTCACCCAACAGGAGCCCCATCCTCTCTTAAAGGCCAGTTGTCCAATCAGGAGTGACAGGTCTGGATTAGGCTAGCCACTTACTGTAAAATTTGTTGAAATGTTTTATTTTTGAGAGGAAAAAAATCTATTTGGAATGAACAAGACTCAAACTAGTAACTTTTTTTAAAGTAGCTCTTTCAAAGGTCTGCAGCCAGCAAGCTAGATCGGGCAGCCAAGGAATCCATAGACTACTTGCTGCATTAAGTTCTGCACACTTGCCATGTGTGACCTTGGACAAGACTGATATTTTCTGCTCTAGGCTAGGTGAGTTTGGGGCTGTTCAAGGTCCTTCCTTGCTCTGGGAGTCTGATTTGTTTAGATTGTTCTACCCAGAAGGCATGTAGACCATTTGATCATGTGTGTTCTTGTTCTTTTGGAATTGCCTTCAATTAAGGCAAAAAGAGTTGGCTGCGGATTGGGAGAAGAGAAGCTTGGCACTCCTGGATAACTGTGCTAAATCAGGAACTCCATGGGTTACACACTGTACTGTCGGGAGCCCGGCTGTCTCTCACTCTCATCTCTCAACCCAAGTCCTGGTGGGAATCCACAGTGAGTGGGAACTGCCAGTAGTATTGGGTCACAAACAGCACCATCTTGGGAGCATTAGAGACAATCCACTCACCCACTAGCTTTTTAGTCCCATGTTGATATAGGTAGCAGCCCTTAGAATATTCAGGTTCTGTTTAGTGTGTGTGTGTGTGTGTGTGTGTGTGTTTAATAAAAATTTAACAGATTCATTGTAGTCTCAGCATTCCCACAGGTAAATCTGAGCAGCAAATTAGAATTTGAAATGTTCCAGATATTAAGAAGTGTTTGTGGGCCCTTCCAATTAATTAGAGCTATCACTTTTCCCTTCCTTTGCATAATAACCCAGGAGGAATCTGTCAACATTAATATAAGTCATTATATTTGGTTCAGAAGGTTCAAAATGACACATTTGTCATTTTACATGGTCCATGGTTAGTGAGGCTACTATATATTCTTATCACCTCCAGATTTGCATCTGAAACCTAGTTTCCTGCACCTGATCTCTTTCTGAGCTCCAGTTGGAAACCATGGGTACACAGTAGTTCCTCTCTGGCCCAGTAGCGATTCTTGGGTCTCATGAATCTTGCCAGCTGTGACCTGCAGAAAGCTCTTGGTTACCTCATAATCTTTACCCAGGTCCAGGAAAGGGTCTGTATCTTTAATGCCGTCTTGTATATTTATTGGCTCAGGCTGACACCGGGGACTTTAGAAAACCATGCCTGTGTCATACAAATCTTCTTGCAGCCGGTTATTTGCCGTTAAATCAAAGCTACTTTTTTTTTTTTTTTTCCAGTACTGCCTTTGTATGGAAGCATTGATGGTCTGGTGGATTTCTTGTCTTCTGACTTGAAGCTGGACATGAAAGAGATTCAGAGTCAGCCTAGCACTAGCTATGGTACTCCAATCACCCCCTTCTGCTGACAACCCCAGGCAGTTTATGATTTGCCTCAGGTGCTCATCTGGATGGAGCTGTAGAGAGAAGTGTGGGTCCACACCACTGCCGCTACATCCTAGGTTTTTGTGTGTACTGCTGCTTGCTACCTCTGCCCACCTCCAGCCACATGCAGGAACACAGCCCCACATGCACCTATCAAGTGCAGGCTGCCTATCTGCTCATGCATGTCTCCTCAGATCCTTAATCTTCCCTCCACCCTGCAAAGGGCTTTGCATAGAAGCATTTGGAGGGGATTAGGGCTTCAACTGGCTTTCTAGCAAGGCTCTTTTATGGGTTTTGGTCCCCATTGCTTAGGGACATCAGTCGGAGTCTGCAGCCAGGAGCAGAGAATCTGATTAGAAGAAATGACATTAAATGGCTGGAAGTAGCTGGAGGCTGAAATACCAATCTTTGAATGCCCATTCCTTTTTTTTTTTTTTTTTTTCCTTCTTTCATTTTCAACCCCCCCAAGCAAGAATGCAAGCTGGAGTCTAAGCTCACAGATGTCTAATTGTGCCGCAGGGTGGGGGAGCTTTTAAAAAGTTTCTGGGCTGCGACATTTCCTTTTACTTTCACAGCCGGGCAGGTGCAGAGTGGGAAGCATGTTTTCATTCCTTTCCCAGCATTCCAGGTGGCAGCTGCAGGCTGCAGTACCAAGGGTCAGAGAACAAGGGCCTCGCTTTTGATTTCCTTTTCGTTTTCTTTTAATATTTGAGAGCAAGTTTGTGTGTGTGTGTGTGTGTGTGTGTGTGTGTGTAAGACGGGGGAGGGAGCAGGCCAAAGTGGACATGAGGTGACCTTCTCTATTGCTCTCTACCTTATTTTTTGGGACAGGGTTTCTTGCTG